TCAGAGCGCCAGACCTTCCGCCAAGGTACGTATGTAATTTATATACTTTGGTTGAGGAGGAAAAAGGATATCAGACAAGCTCGGAGTTTCTTCAAAAAAAAAAAAAAAGGCCACCGCTGTTGCGTCCAGACGGTAGTTCGGAATGTCACCAAAAATTTAATCAGTTCTAGTTAGTCCTTTCTGACTTGTCCCAAAATTGATGATGATGCTTTATGGAAAGAGAAAGGAAGGAGCATAGGAATAAGAGGGAATATTAGAGGATGTAGGAGGAAGAAACAGGGCGGTAATGAAGATAAGGATTGCGAGAATAAAAATGAGGCTAAAGAGCAGCGTGGGAGAAAGGTGGAATGAGAAAAAGGGAATAATAATTATAAGTAAAAGGTATGTATGTCTTTTATTAGCCTTTGTTTAATATTTTGAGGAAAAACATGATTAGGAGTTTTTTTTAGAAATAATTAATAATTCTTTATTTTATTATATTTTTTATTTGAAAGTTTATTTTTTTCATTATTATTTTTCCTTTAAAAGTTCAAAGGAGCACAGAGTGTTTATAGAAATGCAGAGAAAGCTTGATAGAAAGTAGGAAAGTGCAGAGGTTGCACAAAATTATATTTCATCCTGAAGAATGACAACATCACACACACTCACTTTGTTTTTACTCCTAATTAAAGGATTATTTTTTTTAATACTATACATATTTAAAAGAATATTAAGAATATCGCAAATGGAGGTCCACCCCACCAAACACACAAAAACATTAGCACAAACAATTAAATTATGATTAAATAATTATCGATGACTTGAACCCTCAGTGCCGTAAGTAATACGGGCTAGTAATCTTTGCGGCAATGGAAATAGGAGCGCAAAATTTCATCCCCCCCCCCACCGAAATGACACAGAGCGGCAGTGACAGAGTTTTTACGGGACACCCAATAGCTAGAAAACAGAAGACTTGGATTTCTGCTCTAATGATTTCTTCTTTTCCAAACCAAAAACAGATTGACATAAATTATACGAGAAGCATCCCCCCTTTTCCCCTCTGGTAGAATCACACTTCCAAGTCCACAAAGAAAAGGCGACTACTAACTGCTAGAACGGACTGAATTCCTATGGCTATTCCCACCCAGAGCGAGAGCGACAGTGGGGCAAAGGCGGCTGTATTTTTAAGAGCTCTGTCCTTTTAGTTTTGCTTAGATCGACAGGGAACGAAGGCTGTTGGAGATTGATCGAAGGAGGGCTGTTTATATATTTTTATCTTATTATTCAGTGGCTGCTACATTTTTTCGTCCCTTATAATTTTTTTTTTCCCATTTGCCCTTTTTTCTTATATATATATATATATAATATCTCTTTTGTTTTCTCTTTGCGCCTTTTTCTTTATCTCATTAGCTGCTGCTGCTGGCTTTATCTGTTTCTCTCCTCTCTCTCTCTCTCTCAAATACGTCTCTCTCTCTCACGTCTCTCTCTCTCCTCTCATCCTCTCTCTCTCTTCTCTACTCCCACTCTCTCATCTTACTCTCTCTCTCCCCTCCTTCTCTTTCTCATTCTCTTTCTCATTCTCTTCTTTTTCTCCCTCCTTTTTCTCTTTCTCTCTTTCTCCCCAGCCACATCTTTTCACTCTTTCTCTCTTTCTCTCTATCTCTCTCTCTCTCTCTCCCACCCTCGTCTCTCTCTCGTCTCCCTTCTTCTCTTCTCTCTCACTCGCCTACACTCTCTCTCTCTCTCCCCCTTCTCATCTCTCTCTCTCCAGCTTCTCTCTCTCACTCGTCGTACTCCATCCTTCTCCTCTCTCTCTCTCTCTCCCCTCTCTCTTCTCTCTCTCCCTCTCCACTCTCTCTCTCCACTCCTCGTCGTCTCACTCTCTCTCTCCTCTCGTTCCTTCTCTCTTCTCTCTCTCTCTCTCTCTCTCTCTACTCCTCTACTCTCTCCTCTCTCTCTCTCTCTCTCTTCCTTCTCTGCTTGTCTCACTCAACCCCCCCACTTCACCTCTCCCCCTCTCTCCCTCCCCCCCTCGTCAGGCCTCGACCCCCCCCCCCCCCACCATCAAGCTGCCATATTAGACGTGGCTCTTTAAACCCTTTCTCCTCATCAGGGCGTGGCGCTCACTGTCTTGGTATCGTTCGAATAACTGGCTTCTTGTTCTAGTCGTTCTGCTTTATATCCATAACCGAAATCCTCCCCCTGCCCCTGCGATCACTGTTTGGCTTAAAACTATCTCAGAGCAGCATCAGGGCCCTCGCCAGGAAGCCCCCGGAGAAATCACTGCCGGCTGCCGCCGGGCAAAAAACAAGCGCTTCTGCCGTGGAGGCCCCGGGGAAGACGCTACGCTCGGTCCAATTGCTCAATTTCTGACGTTTGCGTAAGTGTGTTGTCCGCTGCGACGAAAGGCGGCGAGGGCGGCGACTCGCCTCTTCGGTAGGTGCGATGGGGGCGACGGGGTGGGCGGAGGGGGGCGGTCGTATAAAGCAGTAGGGGGCGCTGATGGCCGGGAATTAGGGGCGCTGTAGAGAGGAAGTAGGAGAACTAACGCTAAAAGGGGAGTGGTGGCGCGCTAAAGAAGGGAAAGCAGGGGCGCTACGCGTACGGCAAGGATTGCTAAAAAAAAAGGAACCGTAGAGGGCGCTGTACAAAGAGGGGAATTACTGGCAACAAAAAAACAGAAAAACCACACAAAAAGAATAAAGGCAAAAAAAAACTGGCAAAAAGAAGAACAAAAACATAAACAATAAAAAAAAAGTGCCGCTAGGGGGAGTTTAGGGACTTGACACCCCTAGTTCCCTGCATGCTTGTATCCGAGGCGGAAGCCCCAGAAGCCAAATGCTGTACAAAAGAGGTGGAAGGCCTTTGAATAAGACGACCCCCCCCCCCATGCCCCTCAATGAAGACTCGCCCCCCCCCCCTCTTCCCTTCTTCAGTGTCAGCACCCCCTCCCCCACCCCTCTGACCCCGCCGCCCAGAGGAAGGAATGTAGGTCGGTCGGTGCAGATGAGAATCAGCGTAACAGACATAGGATGCCAGCCAGCGACCAAGTATTTTCATGGACTTTGAGTAATCGTAGGCAGAGGAGAGCTCATCGAGTTGATACTTCAAGTCTCTCTCTCTTCTCTCTCTCTCGCTCTTTCTCTCTCCTTCTCTCTCTCTCTACTTTCTCTCTCTCTCATCTCTCGTCCTCTCTCTTCTCTCTCCATCTCTCTCCTCTCTCATCCCCACCCTCATTTCCCCCTTCCCCGTTTTTCCTTTCATCCACCGTTCCCTCTTTATCACACTTTCCCCCTCCTCGGTTTTCTCCTCCTTTGCCTCCCTCTCCTTCTCCTCCTCCTCCTACTCCTCCCTCCCTCCCTCCCCTCTCCCTCTCCTTCTCCTTCTTCTCCTTTCTCCTTTTCCCTCTCCACCTTCTCTCTCTCACTCCTTTTTCCCTCTCCATATAATCTCTCCCTCTCGGTCCTCTTCTTTCGTAGTGTTGTTGATGTACATTGTACTGTGCAAGCTGTAATGCAGTTGGGTGTAAGTTGCAGTTCCTCTCTTCGCGCTGCGTTGAATGAGCTGCCTTTTGGTTCCCCTCGTATCCTCTGCGTTTGTGTACCTACCAAAAGGTAACGCTCTTTCTTTTTGAAGAACTATCCGTTAAAGACGCAACTCTGTAGTGTATATAGATCTCCCAGCAAGACCGTGTATTGGAACGTCGTGAGATGGTACGTGTTTTCGAAAGTAGGTTTGGCTGAAGTGGTGGTTGGTTGTGTTATAGTATGGATGTGACCTAACGTGTTTACGTTTCGTGGTAAAGTGCTGAAGGTTTTTAAGTTTGAACGGTGCAGACCTACTTAAAGTTGTACAGATATCATCGTGTGCACAAGAATATGTGAAAAGAAAAAAAATGTTTCTAAATATGTATTGTATTTTGGCGTAGTGACGGAAACGGGAAACAAATAAGTACAGAAATATTACTAATTTTGTGGTGATAGACGATCGAATCTGTTAGCATTCTTTTCCTGAATTGTCATTATAATGCTAATGAAAATTAGGCAAATACAGGCAGTATTTCTTGAATTGTATAAAAATCACATTTATTCACGAAATAACATATTTCTCATATTTTCTCTCTCTGTATATTTAACATCTAACTTTTTGTAGAATATCCTGCGTTTGTGTAACTATAAACTAATGCTTACTCGTGAATTATAATCTTTTAGAATTTAAAATAATATCAACGTTCACCTTTCAGACCATGATGTAATTTACACTGAGAGTCGTGAAGTATACTTTAGTGGTTGTATGATGTTATTCGTATTGGTGTAGGCAAAACGATGGTCGGACAGTCTCTATCATGGCATGGAGAAAAACCAAACTCCTTTCTTTCCCTGTACTCCCTTTTTTTTCTGTATATCTTATTAGTTTTTTTCCATTTCTATTACTTTACTGTGATTAGAATTTTCATAACTCCAAACCCCTTTTCTTGCACATATCACTCAGCTGATGAATTTGTTTACATGATGAAAGTTCACTTCATAGAATGTCTTATTTTCATCCTTTATAACTCAGGTGTGATCAAATCGATCATGATCTTTCCGCCGGGCTCATCCTCTTCTTTGTTCGCATGAGTCGCTGCATCATTGGTCAGTGATGAGCCACATCGGGTCGCGGGCACCTCGCCGCACCGAGGTCCAGCGACGCCCCGCACACTCTCTCCTGTCGGAGCTGGACAAACCGTACCGCATCCTCATCGAGAAGTACGAGGCTCTTCTGGAGGCGCGGGCAACAGCCAAGCAACAGCACAGCAAACAACAGCAGCCAGCAGCAGCAAGCAGATGGCCCAGAACAGCGTGAGCCAAGACGAGGGCTTGGTGCACCCCGGCCGTCGACTGACATGTTCCTGGCCCCATAGAGCTGGTGTTGACGGACTCCTGCCACGACACCAGGGTGCCCTCCACCCGCAAGTGCAGCGCGTTGCCACACCTGCACGTGCGACATGAAGCCAGCGTGCGCGCGGCCCAAAAGCCAACATGGAGGAGTTTTCGGAGGTGGAGACCTCGTTCGGGCTTCTCGACGGGGAGAGGTCGCCTGAGCACCAAGGCGACGCAGACCGGCGCAGGAGGTGCTCACCCACGAAGGAGATCCTGAGGACTTGACGCCCACGATTGCCAAGCTGATGCTTAGACTTGAGCTCTCCCGTGAATCCTTGTGACAAGCGGTTCCAGACGGCTTCCTGAGTACAACGAAACTCGTCAGGAGATCTTCACCGTGCGGAAGGCAGACGTGGGTGTGAAGTACGCAAGAGCCAGCCCGGAGAAACCAGCGAAGGCGCAGCAGCTCGTAGAAGGGACAATGAATGCACACAACAGCAAGACCTCGGGCGTGAAATCTGAAGACAACGGTCCATCACGAAACCAGCACGACCATATTGAGGTGACTGAGGTTTCGGAAGTCAAAACAGTCAAAAACCATTGTCAATTCAGGATTACAAACGTCGCCAACGAAAGGAAGGCCGAAAGTCGCGAGGGAGACGCCCATCCGCGACCACGAGGAAAAAAGAGAAGCCCAGCAAAGAGGGCGGCGAGGGGGAGGGACGAGGAGGAGGCAGAGATCTGGAACGACCAGACGTGCCGAGGAGCAGCGCGTCACCCACATGCCTCCTCGGCCCGACTCCTCGACCTGGGGGGCGGGTCCCGGCCGAACAGCAGACAAGAAGCGCCGCAGCGCTACCGGCAACGCCTCGACTCTTACCAGCAGCACCAGCAGTCATGGGCCAGTACCAGTACTCGCACGGAAGCTCGGCAACGAATCTCACCAGTCAGGCCACGCACCACAGCGGTGAGCGCGAACCCAAGCCAGCTGAACCACCACACAGGAAAACCAAGACGCTTCCCGACCGCTTCGCACGGACAACGAGAACGAGCACAGCAAGACGCGCATCATCTACATTGTCCCGCAGCCGCTGCGAGCACCACCGGCCCAGTAGCACCGAGGCCGCAGCAGCAACCGGCAGCGCCACGGCAGCACCACCTGAGGCCGCCAGGACCAGGCTGCCGGGCGCTTCCGGCTCCAAACAGGCGAACAGCGAATCCGAGCCCAGAGGAAGGGCGGCGCCTCCAAGATAAACTACCGTCCGTCGAGGTCGCCACTCGGAAGTTGGTGAAATGTCTTACGCCGAGTCCCAAGTACTTCCTTCCAACAGATCCCTACAACCACCGGCGGTACTGATGACGTAGCCTGGGTCTCGCCGAGGATTTTGTGTGAAATAGTTTTGTTGTATATCTGATTACTCGTTTGTAATCAAATATTCTTTTAAGCGTATGTAGTATATGCAGACAGAGGGTAAGTGTAGGCATATTTTTGACCATTTTATTTCGTTCCTTTGTCAGATTGAATTCATATTATTTTTTGTAAATATAAAAAGTGTATATCCTATGGGTACACCTTGAAGTCATGTCTTATATTTGTTTATGGGTTTGTATTTATTGTTTTTATTAGTGTGCCAAGTAGAGTTTAGTACTTTTCTAGTGTATTTTTTGTATTCTGTTCATACCTGCGTTCAAGATGCCACACTCTGTTCCTCCCATTGAAAGGGTCTGTTCGTCGAATTCCATTTTTGGTCTGCTGGTTGTGCGGTTCTTGCTGTTCTCGTCTTGGTTGGATGTAACAAAGTGATCGCTAAAATGAGTTAAAAGAGTGATAATTTTACCTCCTTTAATCATCCTACTCCTTGCCAATAGATGGCGACGTTTTTTTTATTGCCTCGGTAGGATTTTACCAATCACATAATGGAACTCTGAAAAGGAGATTTAATACAATAGTTGAGGATAATATCTAAAAGGGAACAGTTGATAGATTGATAATGTATCCATTGTTGTTAAAGCCTGTGTTGAAGTTAGCGTTGTTGATAGATGATTCCTCTCATCTGACCAAGAAAAGTAGGGAATTCTTTCGTATTTTGTGAAATTCATGATCAGTGATTTGGCTGTAATGTCCCTTCCCAGATAATTCGTTTCTAGTCGTCAGAGATCCCTCATCTATGTATTAAGGATTTTGTTTTTTTTTTTTAGGTCACACACACTTGCCCCCTTTTTTTAATATGGGTTGAAAAAGTTCAGAACTGAAAAGAGAAAAAAAAATGTTCACTCGTGACAAGTGAATATTTTAAGAACATTTCCAGTCCTTTCTTTTCTCCCTGATTTTTTTGTTTTTTTTTTTTGGTAATCGTTTTCAGAAGTGGAGAGAGAAAGAAATCACCCCCCTCTCCTCCACATCTCCCTCCCTTTTTTGTAGAATTTGTGATAGAAGCAGTACTAGACCCTTTGTAGTCCTAATCTACTTTTATTTCCTGGAAAGAAAAAACAAAAAATTAAGATTGCCAAAAGAAAATATGCGATTGGCGCAGTCATCGTAAGCTGTTTATGCCATTGCCCTCGTTTAAATGGTGTTTGAGCGATCTAGAAGCTTCGCCACTCTTTCTTTGTGATAAGTAGCATCTTGAAGATCACATTCGTCACAGATTTCATAGAGGTCAGTGAAGTGTCCCGTAGATTCATAGTTAAAAATATAGTTAAAACACGATACTGTATATGATGAAAGCTGAACATAGCGTTTGATTGCATTTGTAAGGAATACTTCTGGTTCTTCTTTCTTTAGGAAAAAATGCCTTTCTATGATCGAATAATTAAGAAAACAAAGACTTCGTTAAACAGTACAAAAGATCGCAAAATCGGACCTCTAGAAGAAAGGAAAAGAAGAAAGGAAGAAGAAAAAAATAAGTTTTTGCTTTAGCAAAATCTAACAAAAGAGTGTGTAGTTTGCATTTCAAGTCTTTGTTTCATACCCGATTCTAGGGAGGCTAAATAAAGCTCCATAAACCGTCTTTAGAGCTTTATATACCCTTCAGCTCGCCCTTGTATCATAACGTCCATTATAAACCCTTAGCTAGGCTCTTTTAGCCTCACCTTGGGTTATCGTTGCGGTAGCTTGTTATAAGCTTATTTGCTGGACAAGGAGAACTATATTAAAATTTGTGACTAGGATGAATGTTTTTATATCCTCAATGTTTTTTTTGGGTGGTTTTGTGTATTTAAATTGAAAATGCGAGTTCACAATGATAGCTTGCCTTTCTCAAGAGCTGGTGTATTATGAAAGAGAGATGGAATCAAATAAGAATTGTAGGCTGATATTGCGTAGATTGAAGAGTGGCATTATGTGATGCTCGAATATTCTTAAAGACTTTCCAAAAAAAACAATAAAACATATTTCACATTCTACACGATCCTGTACACCGCTATATAGTTTGATACAATTCGACTTTAATCGATACAATATTAATAAAATATATTCGAGATATATGTAAGTGAAATAAACTATACTATAAATTGTTTATCCATAACAAGTCAAAAGAATAATAGTAATGCAAACATGAAATACATTATTATACATTTAAGAAACGAGTGAAAAAAAATGTAACAAAATATATACTAGAAAGTAATAAATAAATGATAAATAAAACTGAAAACAAATTAAATAGCTTGTATAGTTGTAAAAATTATTTCGTAAAGTAGAACAAAATTTCACCATATTGCACACACACACACATACTCGACATGGATGTTCTTTGTTTTTTCTAAGTTCGTTTTAAGCGCACAAAAGCAAGATCTTTTTTGCTCTCCTTTTTTTATACACTTTTTATCTCGTTTTCTTCGTTTTCTAATATCGACCGTTTCCTCCATTTTTTTTTTGGTTTCTTGTTAGGATCCTCTCTCATTCTGCCTCTTTTATCACTTATCCTTTCTCCTCTCCTTCCTTAAATAATAAGTAAAAGAGGAAAAACAAGGCCAGCGATTTTACGTCGTGTGACCGTCATTGCAGTTAAAAACATCAATACAACAAGCTAGGAAACTTAAAAAAAAAACAAAAAAAACGGAATTGTAACGTGAAAAGTAAACAGGAAACACAAGAAAACGAGAATAAGGAAATAGAAAAAATGAAGCAGGAATTGATTAAAAAAAAAAAAAAAGAAATACGAAACTGAACAGGATAAAAAAATGGGGAAAAAAAACTACATTAGAAAAAGAAAAAGGAACTGCCATATTAAAGTGGAAACAAATATAGGAAATGTAAAGAATGCTAATGACAAATAGAATTCATTTAAGTGATAAACGAATAAAGGAAAAATTTATCAAATGTTATTGTGACCAAAAAAAAATAGAGGAAAAAGACAAATAACCAGGCAAATATGAAAACAGGAAATAAAAGCAAAATAGCTACTAAAAAGTAAAACAGAAAAGTAAATTGGCATTACTACTAAATATAATTAGGAATGAGTAAAAAGCGATTGGCCTGCCGAAAGTTTTATTGAACCCAACTCGTAATATACTGTTATACCCTCATAGTTCCGCGAACAAAATCGGTAATTAATTGATATATAAATTTAGTATTCCTATTAAACCAATTCGTATGATTCAATGACCAAGAACCCATAGGGAAGGCAAAGTCACAAGTGTTGATAAATAACGAGATAGGTTTTTGATTTTCCATCCACTTTTACACACAAAAGCAATTGTGAGACACACTTGCGCCTTTTCCGCCTTTTTTTTTATAACGAATTACTCCGGTCTGTGGGGCGGGAAATTCAAGTGCACCGTCAATAGCCCCGAAAGTCTAAAATTATCAAAATACATAAATGAATACAATGTAGAATATACTGGCGTGTTTGTGCGGTTTGTCAATAGCCCCAGCAATATCGTTCGTTGATCTTTAGAAGCACGTGATTAGTGTTGTGGAAAGTGTGAATGCCCCCGCAGAATTTCACGATGGATAAGGGTGATTTTAAATATCTCTCGACGCTGCTTTGTAGTGTTAAAATTGATGAAAATATAATGCAGAATCATATGAATGATTAATATAATGATAATATAATACTAATAATTTAATAATGATAAATATATAATAATATATATAATAGTAATAATAATACGTAATACTATATAATACATAATTGATAATAATATAAAATATAATAATACCGAATAAATAATAATGTAATAATAATAGTAATAAAATAATAATACAAATAATACAAATCTAAGAAACCGAGACAATGAGTCGTGGATACGTTAACTACACACACAAGTCCCACCCTATGTTCATTATGTTAATGTTCCCCTTTCAATCGTACACACCTATTGTCCGGCCCGTTTTGAAGCAGCCCGTACCTCTGCTTTCCCCCACCGAGCCTCCCTTCACACACGCCCTCCCACCTATCAGACATCCTCACCAGAATCCCAACACTTTCGTGCATCAACAACCGTTTCTCTTTCCTCAAAAACGCAACTTTCTTTATCTAATCTAACACCCTGACCTTAACCCTTTAACTCACAATTCCTTTGCCCAGCTTAGACAACTAATCACTAACTCAACCACCTTTCACTAACATTAACTATAGTGCTAACATGAACTTAGTATGGTCTAGCACCATTTTATCTTGCTTTAACCATTAACCTGTAACCACACAGAAGTCGTGATAAAGCTTGCCAGACATTCCGCAGAACGAGGCGCGAAGGTTTTCCTGTCGGTGGTCGTAAGTATTCATAAACACCGTGACATATTGCTTGTCTCTTAAACAAGTCGTCCCGCATCGTCATATACGCGCCAAATTATTCGCCAGTTTATCGTCCATGTTCGCCAAACGTGTCCGATTCGTGTCGGTGTCGCATCGCAGCCCGAATGTAATCGTATCATGACCGGGTGGATATCGTACAGTGACTAGCGGCTGTCCTAAAGCGTAGACAGACAGACAGATAGACACTTCACTCCACTCTCTCAGAAAAAGAAAACGATAAAGTTTCTGATATAATAAACTACCAATCCTATATGTCTACCACATGTGTGTGTGTGTGTGTGTGTGTGTGTGTGTGTGTGTTGTGTGTGTGGTGGGGTGTGGTGTGTGTTGTGTGTGTGTGTGTGTGCGTGCCGTGCGTCTGCGAATGTGAGCGAGAGAGAGAGAGAGCAGAGAGAGAGAGAGAGAGAGGATAGAGAGAGAAGAAGAGAGAGAGAGTGTGTGATGTTGTGTGTGGTGTGTGTGTGTGTGTGTGTGGTGTGTTCATCTTATCTATATAAGTCTATGCATGTGTATATGGGTGTTTATATCAAATCAGTCACTGGGCGCATGGCTGCATCCGCCCTTCACCTCCAGCCATGGGCTCCCTCCTGGCGAGTCC